AAGAGACTGAAGAAGTCTTTAGTACAAATAAAATGTTTACCTGATGTACACAAACAATGAGCACTATTTTACTGGAAATGATAAACTATTACAAAACTAGTTGAAATTTGTATTACTACTCAACAACTTTTGCATCATTTCATGCACAGAAAGCACCACATACCTTCTAAAGAAGGCAGCACTTTTGCTATTAGGAATTTAAAATGAAATCTGAATCCTTAACTAACTTCCTTAAGTGAGTATCTTTTAGTGCCAAATGCTACCTAATTATCAGCTTTAAAAAATGTTTTACATCTTAAAATACAATATTCTGTTTATCCTAGATTGTCTGGGGAACATCTAGTACATTAAAAGGTTTTTGTAGAGCTTCTTAGTGATTTAACTGATATCATCATGCCTGCTAGCAATTTTGCAACATTCTGGAAACACTTTCCATAAATCAAAGCCTTAGCAGCAGGAATAAGCAGATGGCAGGAGACCATATTAAAGAATGTATCAATTATTTTTATTAATGGGATGCTACTGGATAATGATGTATCATAATGGACTAAATGTTTAGCTGTTGTGAAGCATTTTGTCTGTTAGGTATCTCAGATGTTCTTACTGGATGTTACTAGATTGCCTTTTGGTGGCATTTTTGAGGGTCTGGACAGTGAAGTTTCACAAGGGACATATAAAAAGATGCTTTCATTTCAGTCCTTTAATTATATTCATACAATAAACATAAAATGCCAGCAAGTATAAAATGTAATTGTAAAAAGATTGCATATATAGTGCATAATAAAGTACATTCTGTCTGCATACAATGACTTAGAAAACAAGATACCATATGGTTAACAATGAAAAATAGCAATTATTATAAAAATATTCTACAGTCTCATAATAGCAATGTAAATGCCTTTACTTATCTAAGAGACTTAACATAATTTTAAATTACAATGATTTTACATCCTCCATTTATATATACAGTTCTATTAAATTCAGAAAGCATTATAATATCAATGTTCTTATTAAGATTAAGCAACTGAATTATATTTAGTTATTTTGTTATATAAAGCAACTGTGTTTCTGTTTGTTAAAACTGTTTGCACTTACTGTACCTTTTCACACTATCCATGCTATGCACAAAGAAATAATTTAGTTTTCTTTTCTTAGTATAATATCTATATCCATGTCATGCATTAAACAGGATCTTAATATTTCAACTCCCTTTCCTTTTGTGTAATTATCAGTCAGGTGTTTTGTGGATTCTGTAGGAATATGTCCACCAGCTTTGAACAGCTGTTGCTGAAAACAAGCAATACCTCCTCATTTAATGCATCTTGACAAAAATAGCCAGTTCTTCTACCAACTGCCCTGCTTGAGATCAAGATCTGGTAAGACTTCAAATTTTTTTCTATGTCCAGAGCCATGGGCATATTATGCATCTCTTTCACGAGATTTCACTAAATCTCCTGGAAATAAACTAAAGGGTGTAACTAAACTAAAGGGTGTGGAAATAACTAAAAGGTGTATTTTTCTTGCACCACAACTCAGCACAATAAAACTTACATGGACAGAAAAGAAATTCTGCCTGACAGAAATGTCAGGATTTGTCACTGTACTTATGAGATCCCTTTCCTCCGCAGAAGCTGGTAGGACTGGGCTTGGCTCTGCCCTAGAAATCCTCTCAACTTCACAGCATTGTTTCCAAGCCTGTGGTAGGAGAGGGGGTGTTTACTCCAGAACGTCTGGGATGTGACTACCAGCACATGCATCTCCTAAATACCTTCAGTAGCATCTATTAATTCCCAGAATGTGGTAGTCTGGTTTTGCAATCTGTACCACCATTTAATTTCAAGGGTGAGCCTGTAATCTAGGTTATAATTATTAGTTGAAATACTAATTTCAGATTACTTCCTACTAGAAAAAAAATGAAATTTCAAGGGTGAGCCTGTAATCTAGGTTATAATTATTAGTTGAAATACTAATTTTGATTACTTCCTACTAGAAAAAAATGCAAAGTTGGTGAAATACCATTGCCATAGTAAGCACCTAGGAGGATTGATACATTTATTGTTTTGGGCAAGGGAGCAGAGGGTTTTGTGTGAAAGAAGACAGCCCGAATATGTCAAATGATAGATGCAATACAGTGCCTTGCAAGAAGAGCATTGACTATCTTAAGTTTCTCATGCAAGAAGAGGGAGAAAAATTCTGGTGTCTTAGACTGAAGCAATAGTCAGAAGAATGAAAATCAACTTTAAAAAATTTAATGGATGCACTATAATGTTTTTTTAGAACAGTGCTTATAAAAGTGATGAAATTCAGGATGTTATTTAAAATCAGTGTAGTTCAGAAGTATGGTCTAACTCACATGTAAAAGTTCAATGGGAAAATCATGTAATACATTAATATTTAATTTCTTTTTCTCCATTATGAGCAATCCACACTGGTGTATTTAAAACTAATGTAGTAGAAACTGCAGTACAAGGACAAATGGCATTTGATATTAACCAAATAACCCTTCCTTTCATCTGCTGAAATGGACAATACTCATACTAGGCTAGACATAATATGGGCATAAAGGTTACTTTTAATTCATCATGTTTTGTATTCAGGTGTCAATATTAGCAATTGTCTTTGACAAAACTACAACAAAGTGGTTCCTCTTTTAATTAACCCAATTGAAATGGTGGTCAGTCCTATATCCAGTTATCTTTGGTTAATAGTTGTTTGTGTTTCTGATGTGCCATAAAAACAAAAAAAAGTGCAAAAAAGAACAAAAACCAAAACAAAACAAATAAAAAACCCACCAAAATTAATAAGCTGAACCAAACAAAACAAATAAAAAGGCAAACAAAATAAACAAACAAAAACAAAAGAAAATTACCAGAATGTGTCTGTTGTCTGGATTTTTATCCATGATGTGTGTGTGTATCAAAGCCTCTTCTAATGGTCAGGTCTGTGCTTACAGGTCACCTCACATCCAGGTAGTTTGCACAAACTCATAGAGAACCTTGAGATTCCTTAAGTTATAAATATTCTTGTGAAACTGGATACACCATCATCTTTCACAGACATCTGAGTGTGATTTATTATCCAGCTGCTAATTTTCCAGTTATGAAACTACTGTGACACTGCCAGGGTTGGTCAGGCATGTGCTATGGCCTGGCAGGAGCACAATCCTCACAATGACTGTGAGGAGGGCCCAGGTACCAATAACAAAAGAGGCAATTGTAAGAAACAATTGCTCTCATTTTAGATAGTATGTTTTTAAAAACTTAAAATGTTCATGCAAAATGTAGTCCACTTTAATCTCTTCTTACTGTTTCCAAACCTGTGACACTTCTAAAGTGAGGCTAATACACACTTTTGAAACATATTTTGAATCATTACAGAACTCCTGTGGTGGTTTCATCTTGGGTAGAGTTAATTATCTTCACAGTGGCTAGTGTGGGGCTGTATTTTGGATTTGTGCTGGACAGAGATGTTTTTGTTTGTTCTGAGCAGGGCTTACACAGGGCCAAAGCCTTTTCTGCTTTTCACACTGACACACCGGCAAGGAAGGTGGGGGTGCATGGGAGGCTGGGAGGAGGCACAGCCAGGACAGGTGACCCCAACTGACCAAGGGATATTCCACACCGTATCAAATCATGCTCAGTATATAAAGTGGGAGAAGAAGGAGGAAGAGGGGACATTTGGGGTGATGGCATTTGACTTCCCCCCATAGGAAGCAGTGATTAATTCCTTGTTTTGCTTCACTTGTGTGCACAGCTTTTGTTTTCCCTATTAAACTGTCTTTATCTCAACCTGAGCCTTCCAGATTTTACCCTTCCAATTCTCTCCCCAATCACTCTGGCTGGGCGGTGGCCAAGTGGCTGCATGAGGCTTGGTTGCTGCCTGGGGTTAAACCATGACTACTCCCTAATGGGATCTTTTGGCTTTGATTGAGGAAGAGCTATGAAGAACCTGTTCCAGTTTATTTTCCTATGTTTTAATATTACAATTGGAATGATTGCACTTCATGTTCTTTAGGAGCGTACATCACTCTCCAGAATTTCACTATGTATAGAAGTGAGTTTTCTGAATGCCCCCTCCTAGAAAGCTGGTTATGAGAGGTAGTGCATCACATCAGTGTTTCTGAATATTGCCTTCAGTTTGACAAGTCTTCTTTTCAAGCTTTTCTGCAGGGAGTCCAAAGCCAAATACGAAATTAAATTCTCGTTGTTTGGAGTGCATGGAATGGGAATCTTGTAATTTCCCTCTGCTTCCAAATGGATCAAAAGCACATGTACAGATAGAGTCCCTTTGGAAAAACCTCACTGTGCTGTCAAAGGACACTGAAAGTGTCATCCAGCAGCCCAGTATTGTATCTGAATTCCAATTTCTTCCATATAAAAAAGGACACAGTTTGGATATTCTTGGAATAAGTAGCTGACATAGCACTGTCACAAGTAGTGCTTGTTTTAAATTGTGCTAAGTGTAACGTGGAATGTCTGTGCTGTCTTGTATATCCACACAGTCTTTCTGCTGCAATGCTGTGTCTTTTTCTGTCTGAGTCCATTTGAGTCACTGTCATTATGTTAGTTTCCATTTTTCTTCTATGTCATTAAAATAGATACTTAAAAGAGTGTTCTTTTTCTACAAATGAAATAAAAAAAAAAAAAAAAACTAAAGGCATTCCATAGAAAGCTTAATGGATTTTCTCCTTCTAAAGGGAAGCCCACACAGTTTAAACTTCATGCTTGTGTGAAAGCATTACCGTCTGACATTTTTGGATTTTAAAACCTGTAACATCTCTACGGTTCCCAGCTTAAATAGTTCTCTGTTGCTTCACATTTTGTAGAATTTTTAGTTATAAAAAATAACGAAATTAGCAAATTACTAAATCTCATATTTGTAGCAGAGAAATGTGTAAGAAGATTGAAAAGAGTTTGAATACAGTTTTGCAACATGAGTATTCCTTTTCTGGTAACCATTTTCATAGTACTGATAAAAGTCATGAAGTGATAGTAACAATATTCCCAGTGAAGAGAGATTTATGCAAATGTTGGCTGTGAACAGAGGGTGAATTTGGGGCAGAGTGGTATGGCTTCATGTCCATCTTATTTTCTTGTGAAGTAAGGGCTGATTGAAATCCTTGTCATGTAGTAATTGATTTTTACAGTGTCTCTCCTTAAAATAAGAGCAAACACCATGCTTACATTTAACTAAGTCTTTTAACAAGTGTTTGGAGAAGGATGAGACCCTTTCTGCTTTTATAAATCATCTCCATCATCTGTGCTAAAGCTGCTTCTCCTGCTGCTCTCTTTTGATGCAGCTGGAGATGTGGAGGACAACAGTGGGTCTGTTCCAAATGGCGACACTGTGTCGTCCAATAAAATTTCCTCTAGTCGTTGTTCTTCTTTCAAAGCTGCGCTGAAGGACAAATCCGTGAAGTGTGAAAGCGGATCAGAAAAGGCTGTAGATCCATCACAGACATCAGAATTTTGTCCATGTACCAGGGGCATTTGTTGAGAGTAGTCTACAGAGTTCTCCTCTGGATAAGACTGTTGCTTGATGACCTGCGCAGCTAAATCCACAGCACTGAGCGAAGACATGATGGGAAGGCCGTGCGCACGTGCCTGGATCTCCAGTTCCTAACATTTCAAACAAAAATAATTAGACAACAGTTTTAAAAGAGAAATCAGTCTCTTCAGAACAATTGCAGAAAGTACACAAATCATGCATGAAAATTTGTTACACCTGTTGCCCAGTTCTGAGATTAAATTTTAAAATATTAAATTTTTCATCTAAGAAAAATTGTCAAGTATTTTTATATTCCTTTTTGTCATTAAGCAACTATTCTATGGGAACAGAAGAGGTAGGACAGCCTCTCTAAAACCATTGCATACTGAATCCAATGAAGGTAGCAGAAAAATATTGCAACTTGATAGTTCATTATAAAACTGTTATCCAGAGAAAAAAAAGATTCTTTACTTGATCATGCTTATATTATACAGATACATAAGTAAACCAGCATATATAAGATGATCGGTTTTATGTCTATCTACCTATCTACCTCCCATTTCCATAGGTGTGGTCTATATTAGAATATTGCTTTTTAAGCCATGAAGGGCTATATTCTACCTCTTAGGGACAAAAGCAGATATAATATAAGAGAGTGTTACAGGGGAGCATAATGCATTAAATATTTTGAAAGGAAAAATTAAACATGAACTTTGTGACCAGTATTGATTTTTGGCTGCAGGAATATACTTATTTCCCTTTTTTGTCTTTGTTTCTAACACATGCATAATGAAACTGTTTGTACAGTTTTCCACTACTTACTTATGTTATGTAAAGTATAATTATCAAACAAATTTCCTAGAAATCTAAAGAATACCCGCTCCCCCATATACACAGAAATAAAAAGGTAAAGTAAATTTTTTTTTAATAAACATAATTTGAAGAAAATTTATATCGACTAACAAAATCTAATGGAGGATAAGTACTGAGAAAGCTTTGTAGTTCATGGCAACACTTATACAAACCTGAATTCGGAGCAGAAGTCTTCTGTTAGCATGCTCTAATTTCTTCTGCCTGTGTTCTAATTCTCTGGCTCTCTGTTGTTCTTTTTGTAGCCACTTGATGTACTCTACCGATGCTTTTAAAATAGTTCCTTTGTTCCAGCGCATATCACTGCAGAATGTAGAGATAACCTTTTCACAATTGTGCATGTCAGCAGAATTCATAAGAACTTACAAAATCTTTTACATTAATATGAAATAATGATTTACATGACTATTATTCACTCTTAGATATTATTGCTTCTGAATGGAAATTTTAATAGAATAGTTAAGAAGCCCTTATATAGTAAAATTAATCCCAGAATGAAAATAAGTGTCAAAAGAAAGTAATAAAGTGACTTTTTGTGGGAGAGCTAAATGCAATATCATGATTCTACCATTACAGTTTTTATATTTTTAGTGAAAATTGCTTTTATTATTAACTCTGAGATTAAAATCTATGTGCAGTATTTCTGCATTAATGAACTAGGAAATATACATTACTGAGGACTTAAGCCTAAATTTTTAAAGATCATTTTGAATATACTACTCCTTTTACCTGACTTACTAATGAGGTTGCTTTTATGCTTGTAGGGAAAAAAATGATCTGTGCTGAATGCTACTCCTCATTGATGACAGACCAGAAAAATCACACTTTCATAACCATAACGACTAGGGAATGACAAAAATCATGTTCAAAAATCTTGAAACAATTTAAGAAACAAGTTAAAATCTACAGCTACATGCAGACCCCAACTCAAAAGAAAAGCTTTGCAAAAAAATTAGATTAAACCTATGCATCATTTAGGAAATCGTGGTTTGACTTACAGCTTACAAGCAGCCTCACTAGCAACCAAACACTTGTTGAAATTAAACTATCCAAAGACTTTCATGTATCCATTTATCAAATTTTCATGCATTCCTTTAAGTAAGGTCTTGGAACAAGAATTAATTTTACTAAAAATATTTAACTTTAATAAATTTCAGTATTTTATGACACAGGATGGGTTCACTGCATTAAATATTAGTTATATGAGCTTTATCCAAGCTATCTACTTCACCGCAAGATTGCTTAGGCTGAGCAGAAGGTTGGTCAAGCTTCTGGCCCCAAACCAACACAAAACTGTTGCAAGAACAAATAAGAATGTGATGCTGGGAGAGACAAGCATTTTTTCAATACTTCTTCTGAAGACGTATACGTACATGCTGTCATTTATGGAGAAAAAAAAAAAGAAAAAAAATAAGCCCAGCTATTATCACTTTCCCTCATTCATTGAATTATAGAATACGCTGAGTTGGAAAGCATCCATCAGGATTAATGAGTCCAACTCCTGGCCTTGCGCAGGACACCCCAAAATTCACACCATGTGCCTGAGAGCATTGTCCAAACACTTCCTGAACTCTGCCAGGCATGGAGCTATAACCACTTCCCTGGAGAACCTGTTTCCAGTGCTCAGCTACCCACTGGGTGAAAACCTTTTCCTGATATCCAACCTAAACCTCCCATGACTCAACCTCGTGTCATTTCCTTGAGTCCTGTCGCCGGTCACGAGAGCAAAGAGATCAGTGCCTGCCCCTCCACTTCCCCTCATGAGGCTAAGCACCTTTAGAGATTTCTGCAGTTATTTATCTTCTGAAGGTACAGTGCAAAAGCCAGGCAGGTACAGGATTTAGGAACCCAGACCACTGAGATTTCCCAGGTGCTTTACTATGGACAAAACCTTATGGAGTTGATAACTTTAAGACACTAAGAAAAATACACAAAATTATTCGCAATAAAGCATCACAGTGTTTACCCATGCTATAGAATTCAGGTAATTTGCTAGAGATTTGGGAGTAACACTTTTTTTGATCCAAGAGCACTCAAATTCAGATGTCAGTTATTTCTGGACAACACATAAACTGTGAGGCTCCTGTATACAGGGACCTCGCCTCCTCTCAGTGCTGCAGGCCAGAAATGCACAGCTTTTGGAGTTAAAGGTTGAGGAGGTCAGAGAGAAAATAATTGCTGTCTATAATCCTACTGTCTACAAAGACAAAACATAATTGGGTATGTATTCTGATTTAGACATTGCCTCGTCAAAAAGCTAGAGGAGAGGTGGGACTGGGAGCCAAGAGCGGAATACATCCCTCCCATGATGGCTGAATCATCTCTTGGCAGTTCCTCTGCCTTCTCCTTCCTGTCCCTGTATCTCTTGAGCAGGTGGGACGACAGAATTTCTTGCCATCATCCCGTATGTTCCCTCCCAGGAGAGGACTTTCTCCTCTCAAATGGCTTACCTATGTTCAAACTGCAAAGGTTTTTTTAAAGGAAGCTTTTAGTATATATATTTTTCTGGACAATCTTTGACTGCCATCACCATGTCACAGTTTCATTTTCTTCACACCTCTCTGGAAAGTTAGGTAAAATGCTGAAAGGTCCCTGTTTATGACTAAATTGCAGTGGAGTTTGAAAGGGAGTAAAGGGTCTGACTGTCTGTGCCAGACCACTCATGAATAAAGAAGTTAAATAAAATAAATAAAGTTAGCAGGACAAGAACTTTTTCCACTCCCATCTCAGGTATGAGCTATATATGCTATATGGAGAAACACAATCTGCCATGACAAGGAGGTTTAGTCTCTAATAAGTGCTCAAAACAAAACTAAGACAGGTTTGAACTGATAGTCCGAACCTAAAAATAGTGTACTACGAAATTAGAAATAAACCCCTAGCTAAAAAATGGAAATAATTGAGGAAATTGATGGAAACTGAGGAAATAATTGAGGAAAAATGGAAATAATTGAGGTAACAGCAGCAGAAATATCTGAATATATCACATATTTAGAAAATATTTCATAGTGTTTTCACAAAAAATGTAATGAATTCAAAATCAGACAAGATTACTTTTGGTTGTTTTTTCTGATTGACATATGAATAAGTCATATATTCATGACTGTATTTGGAATATTTTTTGATGAAATTCCTTCATGTTACACTTAATATCATCTTGTGATATGGCTTACTTTTAAGTAAGAAACATTTTCGTTCATATTTCCTTGATAGTTTTTGGTTTTATTTCTATGACAATTTTTTTCATAGTTTTGAATAAATCTTCACTGAAAGACTGATGCCTGGATTCAAACTGCCAGAGAGATGGACCTGGTCGGCTTCTGCATGAGATACATATGGATAGATACCTCTTGTGGTAATATTTACAGATCTGAGAGGCAAAATTGAAATGGAGAGCTAGAATAAAAATGAAAAGGTTACTATTGTTATTTAAGAGACTGTTCTTTAAGTGTACACGTGTGTATGTGTCTGTGCATGTGTGCATACCCCACATATGGTTCTACATCACTCCTCATATGTACATACACCGGTTAAATGAAGAATATTCTTATTAAATGGAGAATATTGAAGTTGAACCTTCCAGTGTCTGAAGGCAACATAGCAAAGGAACAGCTGGTGACCTTAGAAGTCAACGTGTATTTCACTTCGTGTCTCTCTTTACCAGGATCTAAGGAAAATCCTGAAGGTGTGTGTGCTGATTCTGCATCACAGGCACTCTTCCTTCATTGTAGCCCAGAGACAGCAGTCACAGGACAGTACTGCAGAGCAGCAGAGGCTCTATGCAGATGTGCAGGGCTGCAAGAGCAACAATGCAACTGGTGAGGATGGAGGCAAATTTGGGCTGGTAAAGGTGAGATTCCTGCATACTAATAGTCTGAAGTGCATCTAGCTCTACATACCAGGCAGGCAAGCAGATTCATCTATGATGGGAAGAAAAAACAACTCAACATTTGAAAGTGGATTAACTCAAAGGACAAGAAGTGAATAAGAGGAATTCAGAAATTCTCTGATGGTTATTTGGTTTCTGTTATTTCTCTGAGAACAATGAATTCCAAATTGGGTGTAAATAAAACTACCTGAAAAGTTCTAAAATTGTCACTAGGAAATAGTAGGTTTTGCTTTTTAGAGATTTGTAGATTGTGCTTAGAGATAAAAATTGAAATCAAAAGCCCTACAAAGACATTTATAGAACCTTTAAAAATTGAGGAATCACTAGCAGTTGTGATTGGAAGTTTCTGTATGAAAACAGACAAAATACTTGCATTCTTAACTGTTTTGATTCTAAAAACTTAGCTATAGACCTACTGATCTTCAGATATGGCAGGAATTCTTCTCTTCATTTTGATCTTTCAGTTCTATTAATTTGCTTTAGACTGGGTTTTTTTGCTTTTCAGTTTTTTATCATTGTTAGGTTTTTTTAGTATTTCTTTTTCTTAGTAGCCATAATTTTTATTAAATGCATGCATGGCACTATCCTGTAAATACTGAAATACATGGGAAATTTTGCATTCAAGCCAAGCCATTTGAGAGCAGTAAAATGTTTTGTCAATCTGGTCATCGGAAATGGCCTCTGCAAAGGAGGATTGCTTCTTTGTTCCTGTGTGTCTGTGTGGTAGAGTAATTTGAAGTATCTAGCAATCCACAGATATATTAGTGAGTTTAATCAACAGATGCTTACCAAAAATAACAAGATTTGTATGGAAAATTTAAAAAAAAAAAAAAAAGCAAAAAACACATTGTTTTATTAGTCTCTGAATCCTGTCTCCTCTTAACTTTATCATCTGAATCTCTACAAACTCAAATGCCCAGAACAAAACATGTAACTCTCACCAAGTAGAGTTTCTTATATTGGAGAAACTAAACATGGAAAAGAGACTGATCTTCAGCTCAAACTTTAACTTTGTTGAAGTCAAAAGATCTTCACTAGTTTACAGAAGCTGAACTCCTGTAGGATGGGAGCACCTGGTCATCTAAGATCAGAACTAATTAGTAAAAGCAGTGTTTGAGAGTGTGGTAGTTACAGAGTTTGCCAGACACAGGCCAGTTACTAATAACAAATACATTTGCAAAGTTGAAACTTTGCAATGTTTGCAGAACATTTCCTTCCCTGTTTCTGAGAAATTATCTTTAAACTGAAAAAATTTGCTCAAAGAAGTACTTGGAAGGACTTTGTACTTGTTTTGAGGACTTGCACAATTGCGAAGTGTTTTATTCTGAAAGAGGCAGCAAGTTTCCACTTTATAACAGCATGAGTGTACACAAGATTTCCTTTGCAAAAAATGTGTCTGTGCTGGCTGCTAGAGGGTCTGTCCACAGACAGCACACAGGTCAGGCACAGGTAGATGCAGAGAGCAAAAAGGAGAGAGTGAGAGCAACCCACTGCTTCTGCCCAAATCCTCAGCAGTTCTCATAACATTCCAGCGCTGTAACTTTACTAGAATTCTTTTTTCTCATGTAACTTTCTGGCAATTTAAGTCCGACTACCATTAACCTGTTCTTATGTGGGCATTGCCAGGCTCCATCACAATAAGGGATCCTGTTAACTGCCTAAAAGATTGATTCTGGAAGGTTGAATACAAATAGAAAGGCAGGTATAATTAAAGGAGCAGGTTATGAGTTTTTCAGCAAAATATGACTATTTCTGGCATTTTTAAATTCTATCTTTTAATTTTGTTCTTTAAAACTGATTTGCATTTCTGAATCATCTAGCACTTGGATATCTAAGCATTGAAAGTTAAACAAAAGAGTCATAGTTCTTTGTAACTTACACTTATCTTCATTTTCTAATGCTGATGAAGTGAACTTAAAACACCCATTCATTTATGTAATGTAATCCACCCTTTTCATCATTAAATTAAGAAAAAAAGACAAAAAAATGAAAAGAATAGGGGTTTAATCCAGTCAAAAGAAAGTCCCTGCAGAAGCTCTGCAGGAGCCAAACAAGTTCACTACATAACCAACAAAACAAAAGTGAAATAAAACCCCCACACAGCACTTCTAAGAAATATAAATCACAAAAGGTTTCCAAATGGCATAAAAAATGTCCTTTTCTGTTTCTGATTCTGAATGTAATCTTCTTGAAGCAAGCCATCTGGGACAGGCATGCTCACCACAATGGCTTAGTTATAGTAGTATTTGCTCTTCAGTGCAGAGGCTGATTTTCTTCACTGTCATTAGTCTAAGCATCAGTAAGCTTTCTCCTTTTACAACTAAGTTTCCACTTTAAGAAGAATCTTCTAAAATCAATATGAGGCAAAATGCTATGTGTGATAAAGTGTTACAGATAAAGTATTGTAAGCCATGATAAATCTCTTTCTTTCAAAGAAGAGGGGGCAGACTGGGGGCACAGTAAGGTGTTATGAAGTAAAAAGCAAGTATTGAAAGAAAGAATAAGGTTGCTGAGTTATGATTTGGCAAAACAAGACCATACCGAAAGGTAATAACAATTTTGATCTGCTCAGCCAACAAAACAACATGTTCAAATTAATATATTTCTGCCTAAAAAAAAAAAAAAATACAAAAAAAAAAACCTACTTACATTTCTTTGAATTAATTTATCCTTTTGCTATAGCAAAATTGTGTTGCAAACTGATTTTTCAAAAACCCTGCAGGTTTTGATGCCTTTTTTTTTTTTCTTAGCACCAACTTAAAAGCTTTTCAGTAGGCCTGTTTTCCAAAGGAGTACTGATTATCAGCCTTTTGAAGACAGCAGTCTTCAGAATGTGAGATACTTAAGTTCACCTTGTGCTTTTGTAAACATAAACCACTCTGGGTCTGGTCACACTGCTGAACTCAGTCATGGGTTTGCAAACTAAAACAAGATAAGGCAATGATTTCAGAATCTGTACCTGAACCTTTTTCATCAGGCAACAACACCAAAAACTGAGGGTGAAGTCCATCATTCACTTACTGGAGGAAAACTGCAGGTCCAGGTAAATCATTTTTAAGAACAGCTTACATGATTAGTCTAGGTATTAATGCTTTGATTAAGTTCACAAAGTCAACCTGAATCCAGACCAAAACATGTAAGTGAAACACCTTTATAGGCAATCAAAAAATGCAACTGGAATTTGTACCCCATGCCCATCTCTAATTGCAGTATAACCAGTTTCTATTTTTGCTTTATAGCTGCAAACCAACAGTGCCATCCACTGTTTTTCTGAGAAATCTTTCCATTACTTGCCCAAATGGTATTGAATACTGAAAGATGCACCAGCAAAATTAAAACACTTCTATCAGTTTCTGCTTGCAATGGATCACATCCAAAACTTTATTTAGGTATTTAAAGTGCTTTTTACTTTAATTCAGCTTTAACACCTAATTCCATATTAATAACAAAAAAAATGCACATTTATCCAATCTTTGGTGGGTGCTACGGAAGGAGCTGAGTTTGTGAATTCTCTAAAATGGATGCAGAATGTTAACTTTCTCTCTGGTGGCTTCACTTCAAATAAAGCCAACCTTCTACTTGTGTATGTCTCACACAGCTTTGTATTGTTGCAGAAATCCTTAATGTAATCAAAAGTTTCTTAGTCCTAAGGTTAAAAAAGCTGAAATATCAATAGCTGTTTTCATTTGAAGTATCATGCACTCTGTATTGACATGCAAATGATAAAGAAAAAATCTGTATAATCAATTTTATGCAAGTTACAATCATGCTGCTGCATTGTCTTAAGTCTTCCCTGAGCAACAAGAGAAATCTAAGGCTAAAGTCCTGCATTAAAAATCACTCTGAATTGTTATTGTTAATCCTGCAATGGGCTTTTCTCCAAGGCAGCTTTTTTCCTGTTGATGACAAATATAAGCTTTAAGGGAATGCACATATTGTTCAAGCAATATGCATTTTGTGTTTCTGTAAGTATATGCATTAGTATAAAATGATATTATTATGGCAATTATAGCAATTATTACTTTTATTCTTGCAATTTAGGACTGGTGCTTTCCCTGCACTGAGTTGAGGACTTTTGAAAAGTGCTGTCTACAGACTCTTAAATTGATTTTTTTTTTTCTCTTAGAGGGCAGACAGTGACAACATAAATTTTGTGTTATCCCACTAGAGGGCCATGGCAAGAGCTGAAAGCACCTCTACTTCCTTCTCCAGAGACACCACACAATTGTGCTCAGGGACAGAGAGATGGACTTTCTGTTGTTTGGCTTATCTTTTGTTTATTTGTTTGTTTCTTTTCCCTTTAAGTGGCAGTTTCTCTTAAACACCCTGAAATTGCTTTCACATTATTATGCTTTCACATAAGTTTTTCAACATGCACGAAAAATCTGTCAAAGCTTTGTTACTTCAACAGCCTGATCTGAGCCAGTGACCTGGTATGGAAGATTTTGTGTCCCATTTCTCAATCCTATAGCCAGTATACACAACTGTCTCTTTTCTCCTGTATTAATACTATAAACATTATTATAGGAAAGACAGTTGAACTCACGGATCATTAGACTTGGGGATGAGTGTGCCAAGCTCCTTGATTCGGTAATTAATATTATACCTTCTTCTTCTCTCAACTGTTAAAAAGAAACATTTACTATTTTTATGCTGAAATATTTTGGAGAAATTATACATAAAACATTTTAATTAGTTAAAAACATGTTAGTCAATATACAGAAAAAAATCTTCCTCAAATAGCAGTCCCAACATGAGCTCCTACCTGTCTCTGACTTACTCCCAGGACAAAGTCTATAATTAGTACCATCTGTATCTTACCTTAACTACAGGGTTTTCCCCCATTACCAATTAGATTTGTAGACAATGAAATAGTCACATATTGCCTAAATGTGAGCTAACATTTCTTTTTTCCTGATGTTTATATATTCTTTCTCCACCATGCTCCCACAGAACAGAGATTTCAGCTTGGTGGAGTCTTGCTGGTGAATCCAATAGAGACACAAGACAATTCATCCAGAAATTGATATTTTGGCAGAACTCCGGTTACAAATCACAAGGTAGCAACTTCACTATCCCTTATTTACCATTACCAGCACTTAAACCCACAGAGAGTACATAACTACAACTGTATCCCCTCACTGACACAGAGCAAGATTATGTCCCAAAAACACTTCACCCCTGTACATCTGTTTCTCTGTTTCCTTTGGTGATGGACAGCATGAAAAATATTTATTATAATTTTTAAAACATAGAGAAAATGAAAAGAAAAAAAACCAAACCCGATGGTTTAAACTATTAAATATAATTTTTTAATTTAAATTTCTGTTTGTCCTAAGACAAGCTATGTAGGGTATCTTGGTTCATTTTGTAGTTTAGTTAGAAGAAAAAAAGAGATAATAAATCTCTTAAAATTAGCACCCCTTCTGTGTGCTCTCAGTTCACTTTACCAGCATTGTACTGGTGTCCAGGCTGGTGTATGTGATCCTTCAGAAACTTCCTATTTTTCTAGTGGATAGGTCCAGAGAACATCTCATTGCTTTGGGGAATTACTTCTATATAATTTTGACACAGGAAGTGCATTCAGTGAGAATGTATTCCCATTAGGGTACTGCTGGGTGTCAGAGACCAGCAGTCTCTGCTGCTGTTCTACTGGTGTCAGCTCACATTTTTGTCCACTGCCCCCACTTTAACTCAATCCAAATCTCACTGAATAAGCAGGATTCAGCTTTTCTCCATCACTAACATCACACTGAGCTTTTTCTCTTGTCCTTTACATCTTGGAAGACCTTACCTTGGGTTCAATATGCCAATGCCACTGTACTCTGTCAGCCCAGCCCTGGCCAGCCTAGCACATGGGCAGAATGGGTACATGCTCTGTGTTTGGAGATGTGAGCTTAAAGTCTAATGGCCAAATTTTGAATATAAATACAAAAAGCCCAGTAGAGCTAAGTTATAAGTGCTCAGCCAAGGGCATCCTAGTGGGTCTTCCAAGGCTGGCTTCAATCTTCTCACAGTCATATGAGCACGTCACTTTCAGCCCCACCACCTGGATCACTTTTAGTCCTCTTCTTCCTGCATGTAAAATGGTTTGCTTCCTGTCTTTGTGAAGCTCCTAGGTTTATGTAGCAGTCAGCTATTTCCTCCCTAACAGATTCAAGCTCCAGGAACAACCTGAGTGTTATTATTTACTCTGATTAAGTATTCTACCTTGGAGGGGTGCATTATCTTGTCTTGCTTTCTACAGAAACAGGAGTTTCACTTAACAAATTAAAGCATCTCAGGTTTTTTTGTGATAATTCACATATTCAGAAGGCAGTGTTATAATCCTCCTGAGTGTAATGCTCAGTGAGTCCCTGCATCACATTGGAATGAATGTGCTGGTTCTTGGAGGAGAGCCCAGTGTACAAAAACACAGAGCAACCGAAAAATTTAAAATATATATTTCAGTTGTGTTGGCAAAAAAATGTAATGGCAAACAAACGTGAAGAATGTGCTTTAACTATACTGTCCTGTGGTGCAATAGCTGCTATTTAATTAATATTTACACTGCGGAAAACTCTGTAAGATATTCATCAGAAAGTAGTCAACTAAGCATTAGCTATAAAACAAGGCAAAGAAAAAATATCCTTACAAGGGAACACTTGCAGAATTCCTTTTTCTTTATATTTTTGCATTTTTTCCTGAAAAGAAACTTCCAGTTGTGTCAATGAGTTAGGGAGGGAGATTTTTAAGTTTGGAAACGTTGCAATAGAATTTTCCTGATGTGTGTCTGTAACTTTTCCAGAGATATCCTGAGTTATCAGGAATATTTCAAGAATCAAATTATACGTAAGCCAAATCAGAAAATTATTTTTCAAACTGCATGAACAGGATTATAATATAAGATTCTCTGCTTGGAAACAAAAAACCCCAAAGTTAGGAAACATAAAGTAATGTTTTAAAGTCTGCCTGTTGCATGAAGGGGTTCCACTTCTTAAATCAAAATCCCTTTTCATGGGATCTAAAGATCTTCATGGTCTGCCTGTAACCCACAAAAAAATTACAGACAGACATAAGAATGACTTCTGGAAATTCTAAGTAGCAGAAGACTGTCCACAGTGATTGCTAGCACATTTTGCCAGTGGATGTATACTTTCAGGTATGTAATTTCATGCGAGCCGTAAATCCCTCTTTGATTACTGAAAATCAAATAGCCAGAGAAACAAGACAGAAGTAAGAGAATAAAGATATAAATAGTGACTATTAATTAATTACTAACTTAGGTTTAAATTCATAGAATCATGGAATATCTCAAGTTGGAAGTGAATTTTAAGGATTATTGAATCCAACTCCCACACTATTTCTGTTGGAAGAACTCGAAAGGAGAACTTGAAAATTTAAACTACTTTATTCAACACTTTTCAAAAAGAAATCCTGCAGAATCCTGCAGCCTTTTTGTTTCAAATTATGCTTTAGAGGGAAAAATTGTGTCATTTTATAGGCAATCTCCAAGTAATGAAACTGATGGGGTTTTTTTTCCTATTCTATATAAACTAATTTTTTTTTTTTTGTAATTCTAATATTTAGACACTGAACTATGAATTTCACTGTTTAAGACTGTTCCTCTACAACCAACATGCCTATCTTCTGTACATATCTGCACTGTTATCCTTAAAGAAAACAGAAGGGTACCCCAGATGACAGGGGTTATGGGGCTTGTGTGGCAGAGTCAGAACACTGGTGAGTCTCATAAAGCCCTGCACTGATGTCCTTTGTTTTCAATAACTTTAAGAGCTTAGCAACCACTTGGAAGTTGTCTGATGCAAGTTTTTTTCCTACCCCATCACCCATAAAGAGATACAGCCTCTTGCTTTGGCTCTTTAGTGAAAAAGGTGTGAAGACTGCATTTTCAGTGTTATTTTTCTCATAACCTGCCTCCTTTCTTGTCTGCTTTGCACTGTAATTCTTAGAGAAAACACCAAGGAAAGTGTGTTACTGTGAAAAAAATAATAGCAGGAGATTATATAGAAATAAATTAATTGCAATATGCAAAGTATTTTGAAAGACAAAACTCAGAGACAGTAATTCATTTCAAGCAAGAAAGCTTTATGGTCAGCTGGTTTTGCAGTCTGAGTCTAGGAGAAGAGCAGAGATGTGGTAGCTACTGTATCATGGTTTGGCATTCTCCATGCTTTCCATTTAATGAGATGGAAGATGAACAGATGAACATATACTTACTGAGATTGTGGTTATCCTTTTTTTGTCTCTCCTTTGCCATTGCTCTTGTATCTGCTTCTGACAGAAAGTAACATTTATTAAAATAGTCCTTAAAATGCAATTCCAGTACTTCTTTCATCTTTTGAAAATGGCCTCTTGTCACAAATACCAGACTTCCAGTCCTTTTACTGCATTACTTTTTTATTATTATAACAGATCATAGGCAAATCTTTATTCTACCAGTACTAAATTTTAAGCAAGCCTGGCAGGTTGCTTAACATTTTTTTATGGCACTTTTTTAAATTTAAGAATGTAGAAATGCTGTGGAGGGGTATTTTTCTCCAATTTCCTGTATTTTACATCAGGATAAAACTTGCAATACACTAAGGTGAATATGGATTTTCTATATCCCATAATGCAAGAGTTAATCAGATTTGTAAGATATTGAATAAACTCACTGTTTCCTTTGAGAGACATTAATAAACTGTACATGATTTTTTAGCATTCTTTGGATAAAATGAATGTAACTTTTAAAGTTTGTAATCCACTAATATAACTTTACCTTGAATAGCCTTATTGTAAGGTATTAAAAGAACTATTTGTTCTACCCTGGGACAAATTTAATGGACGATAATTTATTTATATTGTTGGTCAGAAGCCAACATGTGGAAGAATATACTGTTTTCTAAAATATTAAGGTTTTCTAGAAGCATGCTGTTCATAAAAACAGGAGGCAAACATGAATTTCTAAAGAGAAGAACAGAAAGAAAAGATTCTTTGTTTGTCTTTGTTCTTTTCCTTAAATGAAACCACAGACTGAAAATTCTCAGGAATTTAATTATGGATATCTTTTTCACAGATAAGATTCAACTTTTAAGACACACACCATCACTTATGCAGTTATATACTAAAATCTCAGAGTCCTTTTACCTGTGAGCTCCCTTTTTACTGGTAGATTAGCTGGGCAAGAAGCATTTGTGAGACTCATATTAGCTGGTGCCATTCCCTGGTCACTGTTATATATATCCAAAATGCTGCTAGATAGCTTGAGGGGTAGGGAAGGAAAGAAGAATAAGGAAAAAAAATTAAAATAAGTAAAATACTTAATAGATTTTTTTAAAAAAAACAATGCATGCAAGGAGCAAGTATTTTTGGATATGAGTCTGGTTTTCTTTAGAAGGAGTATATATACATATATCTAATGAGAAGGATTCCTGTTACCCAATATTAACTAAAATTGAAAGCAAAGAATCACTGTCTGCCATTTTTCTAAGGTGCCATTTTTGCAGGCTTCAGATATACAGTGCTGGCAAGATATGAGCCACAGTGTCTGTTTTTCAATTGCTTCCAAATTGCATTTTCTAAATCCAGTGTTGCCATGTCTGCACTTCAAATATCCATTATATACAAAAGTCAACTTTACTATGCTGATTTTGACCGTAATCCCCAGTATGACTTTTTAACCACACCTCTGGATTGGTACTTCATACAGGGCCTGGTCTAGCAATATATTGAGGGACCTAGTTATATGTAATAGTTAAAATTAGAGTGGACAGAACATCAGAGAATATGCATTGAGGAAAGGAACTGCACTCTTGTCAGGATAGACCAGATAAACTAATGGTTTCAACATGCATAACATATAACCATGTATACCAGTATCTTTATTCCCTTAAAAAAATATAATATGATATTAGCTAAATAAGCCCATAGAATGCACACTAAGAAAAGTAAGGCTAAAGTATGTGGATTTCAGGTAATTGTACATTACCTTTGTTTTAATAACTTTCCACATATGAAATAACTATAAAATATGCAAAAGTTTACTGAAGAACAGTTCAGACTTTGCTCATTTTCTATGACCCTATGACCAACCTTTAAGCATTGATCCTTTGCAGTAAAACAAAAACATTTTTTGGTTTTTTTATCATGCATATAAAATTTGTGCTGACATCTTTGGGGTTTTTTATCGTCAACACCCAAGGGTTTAGAAACTGAGTTTGGGTCCACAAGACCAAGAAAACAGAAAATAAATCCAAAAGTAAACAAAAGAAAAACCAAAAACCCAAAAAAGATTAAAAAGTGGGTGAAAAAAAAAAAAGTGGATACAACCACTGACTTGAGACAGAAAAGCATGAAAGGAAATTAGGAGTCATTTAAGAAAATTGCTTTCCATAGACAAGAAAATGTGTTGTCACAGATTTGCCCATCAGCTATGGATCCTGAAACAACCTGGAATTTTCCAGGCAGGTCATCGAGACACCAACCATAGGTCTGCTGGGAACCAGCTTTTTTCAGACTTTTGTAATTTCTCTTTTTGTAGAGACTGTGAGCTTCATCACAAGTTACTTTGAATGGAGACAATTTTCTGAATTACTTGCTCAGTGTGAAGTTGTTCCACGGCAGTGCTGCCTGTATTTTATATTAAAACTGAAATTTTAAATTAGCTCTATTTTTAAATAACGATTTTGTTAAATTAACTAATAACTTTACTAGATCATCTGACAATCTAGTTTGAGTTAAATTCTTCTAGTTCTATTACATACTATGAAATGGAGCAATCAGAATTCTGATTGAACACACAGAAATAACATGCTCATTTTTAAACTAGAGCTTTATTACTTAGGAAAAATGAAAATTCTTGAATACCATTAGAAATCACAACACCAAGTCAGTTTTGAAAATCTGCTTATACATTCCCAATGAAAATACTTTTTAAAAGAATGTTTGGAATTCAGATGCGTATTACTCAGAACAAGCTATGTTTAATATGCAGGATTTGAATGTTAAGAGCATTCTCACGTTAGGTACCTTTGTTTCATTCGAGGGGTAAACTGACAAGTATTACAGAATTCACTGCAGTTTTACCTTTCCATTTTCTTTGTTCCAGTGATAGGATAACTACATTACATGAGTGAACTCCTATTAGCTCTCGTCATATTTAATTACTTCCTACCTTCATGTAAATGAATTTGGTTTATTCAAATGATATGAAAACAGAATGACATAAAAAATTGAGAGTCAGTGTGACTCCTACACCTCCAGGTTCCAATGGACTTTTGCAAGGATGTTGTATGACTTAGGCTACTGTTTTTGTGAAATGCTAGGAAATAATAACCACTGAAAATAATATAATCTAATAAATAATCTTACAAGTGAGAAATACATATCCATTTATGTAGTTCACACAGCTGTGTACATAGGTTCAATAATTTGCATGAAACTGGTGGCAACCTTCAATTTAGTAGATTATTAATGCTATTAATGGAAGAAACAGGCTTGTAAACCACAGTTTAACATGAACATGAGATACTTAATTGATTAGTTCTAATTTTCAGACAGAAATTCAAATTTATCCTTGAAAGACAGTTAAATTTCTCAAGTCTATTCACAAAGCTACAGATTTAAATGACAATGCCCAAATCCAAGAGAAAAGTTCATGCCTGGCCAATTTAGCTGGCAAGGAAAAAATAATACCAACCTCAAACACCTCAAAGTTCAAAATTGTGTGATAGTTCAAAAGAGCATGAGTAAATTCAACTTTAAACACAGACAGACATTTCAGCTGAGTTCAATTACACAGTTGGAGAAGGCAATTCCATACAACTGCCCAACAATTCCCTCCCTTGCCCCACTGATGATGCTGTGTCTAATGCTCCCCAGGACACAGGTGTCCCTCCTGGCTGCCAGGGCACTGCTGACTCACACTCAATTAGCCACTGACCAGGACCCCAGGTCCCTTTTCTGCAGCACTGCTTTCCACCATCTCATTCCTCACTTTGTACACACATGCAGGGTTGCCCCATCCCAGGTGCAGAATTCAAGATCTGTTTTTGTTAAACTTCCTGCACTGACTGTCCAGCCCCCTAAATTGTCTAATTCTGTTTGCAGAGTGTCTCTGCCAAATGTACCATATCACCTTTGCTTCATGCAGATACTCTCCAGGATTATTCCCCTTGTCATTTCACAATATTTACCAGCCATTAGGAAGACAGAATCACCACTCCATATAGAGATGATGAAAATTAAGCCCAAACCCAAGTCATTCAACTACTGATGACTACAAGCCTATCATCTCACTAATTAAAAGGATTCACATAAGCATTACTCCAGAAGGGATGGGCAGGGAAGAAGAGACGGTGGGGTAGCTCTGTATTTTAGAGAGTGTTTTGATTGTCTAGAGCTTAATGATGGGGATGCTAAGGTTAAATGTTTATGGGTAAGAATCAAGGGGAAGGCCAGCAAGGCAGTTTTCCCAGTTGGACTTTGGTATAGACCACCCAGCCAGGATGAAGAGGCAACTGAAATATTCTATAAGCAGCTGAGAGAAGTCTTGTGATTGCTGGTCTTGTTCCTGAGGGGGACTTCCAAATTATCAGGTGTTGTCTGCAAGTACAACAGCCTAGAGGAAACAACAGTGCAGAAGATCCCTGGAGTGTGTGACAGGATCTCTGGAGCTAACTTCCTGACACAGCTGGTGAGCAAACCAACTAGGGGAGGTGACTGATGGATCTGCTGTTTGTGAACAGACAAGCACTTGTACAGATGTGACACTTGGAGACCACCTTGGGCACAGCGATCATGAAACAATAAATAGAATAAAACAATAAAAACAAAGTTTTTATATCTTGGGGAAGTGAAGAGAGGGGTCAGCAAGACTTGGACTTTTAGAGGGCAGACTTTGGCATGTTCAGGAGACTGGTTGAGAGACTCCCTTGGGAGGCAGTCCTGAAGGGGAAAGGAGTCCAGGAAGGAGACCATGAAGGAAATGCTAAAGGAGCAGGAGCAAGACATCTTCATGTGTGAAAGATGAGCCACTGAGGAATAGCTGGTCTGTCTGAACAGAGAGCTTTGGCTGGAACTGAGGGGAAAAAAGCATAGTGGAAGAAGAGGCAGGAAACTCAAGAGGGCAGCAACGATGTTGTGAGGTTATGCAGGGAGAAAATTAGAAGGCCCAAAACCTAATTAGAACTTAATCTGACCACTGCTGTAAAAGACAATGAAAAATGCTTCTATAAACAAATCAGCAACAAAAAGAGGGATAAGGAGAATCTCCCTGCTTGTATTGGATGTGGGAGAAAATACGGTGGCAAAGGATTGGGAAAAGGCTGAAGTACTTAATGCCTTCTTTGCCTCAGTCTTTAAGAGTAGTACTACTTGTTCCTTGGGTACCCAGCTACCCGACCTGGGAGACAGAGCAGAATGAAGACCTCACAATCCAAGGGAAATGGGGAGTGCCCTGCTACAACATTAAGACACACACAGGTTCATGAGGCCAGACAGGATGCACCTGAGGGCCCTGAGGGAGCTGGCAGAAGAGCTCACTGAGCCATTCTGAGTCATTTACCAGAAGTCCTGACTAACTGAGGAGGTCACAGTTATTGGAGTAAACCTGATGCCCATCTACAAGGTGGGCCAGAAGGAAGATGAAGGAACTACAGGGCTGTCATCTTGATGCAGGTGACAAGAAATGTTAGTGCCAATTGCACTATCAACTGTCTCTTTCTTCTGTGAATTCAGTAGAAATCTGAATTATATTGCAATGGCCACTATGACTGATAAGTGGCTTTGTGGACATGGCCACTCGTGGTCTCCCTTTGACACACTCATTCACAGTTGACACAAAAAATCTGCTATGAATTAGTGTGCAAGGAATAATTCTCAGTGTCAGGATTCAAGATCAGGAGAAGAAATAGAGAGTGATTAATGTGACCTGTTTTGGACACTTGAGTGTGTCCAAAGGAACTGAATGATCTCTGTCTCTTATTCATAACTCTGAAGAAAATTTGGGGTGAATATTGCAGGCCTCCTATGTGTACCTTCTCAAGAAATCTCACTGGGCTCCTCATGTGGAAATTTCAAAATAAACTCTTACTTTAAAAATCACATAAGTAAGACTTCCTTTGAAATTAATCATTTTTCTGATTACCAGAGACTTTTATAATATGCAGTCAAAAAATGTGTCAAAGTATTTTGTTGTAACTTTCTACCTGAATTTGCTCTGCATTGATATCACACATAGAAAATTCCAAGGAATTTCTTTAC